GTTGGCACAGGATAGAGCAGGGTTTAGGGCTATTGTACATAGGGTCGCTATGAGTCGGAAACGACTCGACGGCACATAACAACAACAACAACAAAGGATTATTTAAATATTAAAAAAAGAACTAGGTGCTCAAGAGTAACTCTGACGGATGTAAAGATGCCTCACTCAATCCGCTGTCATTACATTTGTGATACAGAAGATACTCTATTTGAAAATGACAGAGAAACACCAAAAAAAGAATGTGACTGTCACCCGCGGTCACATTCCTCCTCCCTTCCCACCCCGGCCCTCTCCTGTCAGCTTCTGAGTGTCCCCTGCCTCCCCAAGAGATGGCCCTTCCTGTTAATGAATTCCACACCCCCTGCTCAAATAGACCCACATACCTATTTCTAAGCCTCCTGGGTGTGAACTTTTGCACAGACGCCGCCTGATGGTTTCTCAGACTTCAAAGGCTCTTAAGCACTGTGCAAATTTCAAAACATCCTTCATCATTGACTTGGAGTCACAGATATTAATAAGCTGTTAACAGTTTAGAAGAAGTGATAGTAACTGCTTTTGTTTTGTGATGCATTATTGCAGAAGATTAAGCTGAGGTATGAACCATACTGCGCTCTGTCTCCTTGGCAGCGGGTGTTGTTTTGAAATGCCAGCCTGTCCTGTCCATGACGAGTAGGCATCCAGCCTTCGGAAGGTTGCATTAAGCATTGTGTCCAGGGAATGTCCTGTCCACCTGCCCCAGAAAAGAAGCAGTTGTTTCTAGGCCCGTCTCACCACTTGTATCAGCTGGGCCAGTCCCTGGAGAAGTTGGAGTAACGAGAGTGGGGGCGGGGTGGGGGAGGCTGAGGAACTTCCAGGGCCAGTGCAGGACGCTAATCGCTGCTGGCAACAGGGTTCCCCATTCTTTCATCTCTTCCATGCCTTGCTCTAGAGCACAGGTGTCCAAGAACCCAAAGCAGCAATCCAGGAAGTCAAGAATCTGAAAAGCGTTGCTTTTCTTCCTTTCACAGATTCTATGCAGCAGAGATTTCAATCGGCTTGTTCTTCCTCCATAAAAGAGGAATCATTTATAGGTAGGTATTGAAGCTCTTTACCGGCAGCACAGTTGGAGGGTCTTGCTGGTCTGCTGTGGACACATAATTTGGTCACTATGACTTAGGGCACCGAGCTGATGAGGACATGCCTGTGCCACCTCCAGGCAAAGGAGAGTCCCCTTCTGACTTCTGGACTTCAAAGATGCTGCAGTGGATTGCTGCTTTCTACATGTGAATGGGTATTCTTGTCATTGCAGCAGTTCAGGGTGAAGGCTGCATAGTGGAGTGGACTTGGAGAGAGCGATTGCCTAACAACGAAAGAGTTTTTCTTTCTTTTCAAAGAGAAGAGTGGATTGAGGGGGAGAGGGTGGGTAGGGAGAAAAGTGCAACAATAAATGATTGGTAGGGGAGCTCTGGTGGCCTAGTGGCAAGGAGCTGCAACTACAATCCCAGAGGCGCACGGTTCGAATCCACCAGATGATCTGCCGGGGAAGGAGGGGCAGTCTCCTCCTGTACCAGTCAGATCTCATTTGACGGTACACTCACACAAAAATAATAATTAAAAAATTATTTAAAAAAAACAATGAATGATTGGTAACCCTAAGTCTCTGTAAACTTTTGTTAAAATTAATTTTAAAAAAATAAAAGCAAGCATGCTCCTCTCTCCACTGGCAGCCCCTTCCTCTGCCTTTCACTTGGAACTGAGGCCATGTGGAAAGCCAATTCCTGCTGCAGATGCTTAGTTAGAAGGAAGCTAGGGAACTGTTGAAGGGTGGTGGGGAAAGTGTGGCATTCACTTCTCCCAGAGGTTAGCTGTTGTGAAAGCCTGGTGCTAAAGAAAGAACCATGTGTGCCACTTTCATTGACGAGTTATCACAAGGATATGGAGCACACACAGCAAGGAAGGGCTCTTTCAAGGTCAAGTTCTGCTGTTGTTGTTGTTAATTGCCTTTGAGTTGACTACAGCTCATAGCAACCTCGTGAATGATGGAAATGAGCTTGCTCGAAAATTCAGGGTTTGGAAACCTTATTGTGTCTCTGAATCCCATGCAGCAAATTGATAAAAAAATGATGAGCACCGATCCGACCTGGAAAATTGGAATCTGTTGGTTCTCGTGCACAACTTAGTTCAGCCTCTTGTTTACTCATTCATTCAGCATGCATTTATTATGCACCATGCCCCAGATGCCATGGTAGGTCCTAGAGCTAGCCGACAGTCGTTCTTACTCCCTGCCCTTGGGGACATAGGGTTAATAAGCCGTTGATAGGACAGCCAGTCAAATGTCTGTCTATTCCGTCTGTGTCAAGGGGCCCCTGTGATTGTCGTGGCAGGGCACTGATCCACGCCTCTCTCCTCACAGGGATCTCAAGCTGGATAACGTCATGCTGGATTCGGAAGGGCACATCAAGATTGCCGACTTTGGGATGTGCAAGGAGCACATGATGGATGGCGTCACCACCAGGACCTTCTGTGGGACTCCTGATTACATCGCCCCGGAGGTAAGGGGCTCCGGCTCCCGTGGTTTCCAGACAAATCATCTTCGAACCACAGGCAAAACCCACTCGCGGGCCTGTGTGCGAAATCACTCGTGAACCTGACTTTGGCGTGTATGTCACGGACAGCATTCTTCTTTTGTTAATATGGAAAAGGAAAATGTGAGTGTGTGTTGCACACCACAATGAAAAGAATAGTTTCAGAGAACATTTGTTTTTGTTACATGAGTCTGTGAGCTGGTCGCATTGCCGATGTTTTACATTATCATGGTCCAGACCATTTCTGCGGTCGAGAAGATAAGAAGAGGCTGAGAGTTGCTTGGGAGATGTTTTCTGTAGGGAAGGTGGGCTTCACTGCTGAGCGTCTGGAGAAAAAAGAGTGGTTAGTGCTCAGATATTAGAACTGATGACGGTGCTCACAGTATGTTGTTGTGCGCCGCCAAGTTGGAATCCACTCGTAGCTGACCCTTCAGATTTTTTGTCAGAGGCTGTAAATTCAGATATTTTTTTTCCAGAGGCTGTAAATTCAGATTTTTTTCCCCCCAGAGGCTGTAAATTCAGGTATTTTTTTCCCCAGAGGCTGTAAATTGCACAGGAGGAGATTGCCAATCTTTCTTCCTCGGAGAAGCTGGTGGATTCGAGCCACATGCCTTTGGGTTGATGGCAGCAGCAAAGCTTGATGTCCTTAGATGCAAAGTGTTTGCAAAGTTCACGTGTTTACTGTCGGCCCTGCTGCTTTGTCTTTGTTAGAGGGCGTGTTGGATCTTTGCCTTTCTTCTTTATGAAGCTTCGTGCACAGCCCAGGAGAATGGGCTGGACGCTGGGTTATGCAGCCAGCTTTCCTCCAGCAGGTGGTCCTGTGGATGCAATGGCCTTTTCTAATTGGGCTCCAGCTTGATGAAATCAAGGCCAGCAGGCAGCCCTTCATCTCTGTCATTGCCATAGAGTCGAACTGACTCGTCACTGGTCTTCCAGTGGGTTTCTGAGGCTGTAAGTTGCATGAGAAGAGATTACCCATCTTCCCCTTCAAAGCTGCGAGTAGATTCGAGCTAAAGAGAAACACAGCCTTTGAGGTAGCATGCAACTCCTTCCAGACGGCACCACCAGAGCTCTCTGCAGCGTCACAGAGCCCCCAAGCTGGCTGCGGGTGGTTTCTGCATAGTAAGTTCCATGTATTGCCCATGTATGTGGGCATCTGTCCCATATGTGGTTACTAGGCGGTGAGGACTTGGGCAAAGTGCTTAACCTCTCTGGCCCCATTCCCACAGTGGCAAGTCAGGGGTAATGATACCTTCCTTATTGAATTGCTTTGTTGTTGTTGTTGTTGTTGTTGTTGTCATCGTTGTTATGAGCCATCAAGTAGCCTGTGACTCATAGCAACCCTATGTACAACAGCCCTAAACCCTTCTCTATCCTGTGCCAATTTCATTGTCTCCAACACACCTATTCCCATTACCTCCATCTCATCAAAGGTCTTCCTCTCCTGCACCATCCCTCCACCCTCCCAACCATGATGATCCTCTTCAAGGACTGGTCCCACCTTGCAACATGTCCAGAGTCTGTTAGACAGAGCTTCAGAATCCTTTCCTCCAAGGAGCAGCCTGGACAAACTTGTTTGTTCTCCTAGCAGTCCATAGTATATTCAATATTCTTCTTCAACACCACAGTTCAAAGGCATCAACTCTCCTTCAATTATCCCTTGTCATTGTCCAGCTCTCTGATGCATAGCAAGTAATTGCAAAGACCATGGCCTGTATTAGGCGCACCTTAGTCTCCAGACTGACATTATTGCTCTTCAGTACTTTGGAGAGGTCTCTAAACTTTCCCAATGCAATTTGTCTTTAATTTCCTGGCTGCTGGCACCAAGAGTGTTGATTATAAGGCCAAGCAAACTGAAGCTGTCAACAGTCTCAATCTCTTCACCATCTATCACGATGCTGCCAATCGGCTTAGTGGTGTGAATCTTTGTTTACTTGATATTGAGCTTCAATCCATATTGAAGGCTGCAGTCCTTGACCCCCTGTAGCAAGTGCTTCAGATCCTCCTCAGTTTCATCAAGTAGGATTATGTCATCTGCATAACACAGATTGTTGATGAGTCTACCTCCAGTCCTGATGTCACACTACTCCTCATAGAGCCCAACCTCCTGAGTTGCTTTGACGTGCCTAATAAAAAATTACGCACCCAGTACACCTTCCATGGTTCCTTGCTTGTAAAAGGTTAACATGTTCAGCTACAACCAGAAGGTTGGTAAGTTTGAGTTCACCCGAAGGCACCTTGGAAGGAAGACCTGGAAAATCTACTTCAGAATGTCAGCCATTTAAAACCCTATGGAGCACAGGTCACGCATGTGACGTTGCCAGGAGGCAGAGTCCAGTCAGATTTTTGGGTGTTTAATTTTGTTTCCTGGTCGACCCTCCCACTCAGCCATTGCCATTGAGTCTGAACTGCCTCAGAGCCGACCCCCGAGCAACTTTCAGAGCTGTAAATCACTTGGGGAGAGATCATCCACCTTTCTCCCAAAGAGCCACGGGGGATTCGAACTGCCTGACATTGGGTTGACAGCACAACTCCTTACCCATTAGGCCATCAGAGCTTCTGGTAGACAGTGGCAGCTGTTGTTCTAAAACAGAAGCTACTTTTTCTTTCTTTGTTAGGACTTTGTGGCTCATTTTTTTCTCCTCCTGGACAACACAGAAACATCGACTTCACTTAAACCTTTGTCATTTCTGACTCACGCCTCCCCTCTTCCAGGTCTCCGGAAGGCTGTGAGCCTTCATGAAAGGAGACAACCTCCCATCTCCCTTACAGAGCCAACTCAAGGGCTCAAACCAGCAACCTTTGAGTAAGCCAGCCCCTAACGCACTGTGCCACAAGGATCCTTTCCTTAAACACTTAAATCCAGAGCCACAAAGCCAACGGTGACATTTTCTCTTCAAATAGGACATTTCGGGGTGGGTATTTTTTTTCTCCTCCAAAAGCACTCACTCATTAGTACCCACAGGCAAGGTAATGTAAGCTTAAATAATCATATTTTTCCAACATGAAGAATAGGGAAATGGCTCGGTTTTTAAAAAAAGAAAAGCAAAGCCACCTTTCGAAGCAGTATTTATTCTGAAGCCATTTACCGGCTGACAGGTATTACCAGGCTGTGATTATGAGCTGTGCTCGTGCCATTTAACACCCACCAGATGCAGTCAGAGCTCTGTGAAGGGGAATGGCAGCCTTTTTAGGAATCAAAGCGGCTTTGAAGTTCATCTCCATTAAGACCAGGTCTCTGCCGGTCAAACCACTAGCTTCCTGTGTTCAGCAACCTTTCCGCCATCCAAGATCACCAGAGCTGCGGTGGCCCACAGAGCCGAAATGTTCTAGAAATAGACATTTGTTCCTTTGAATGATTGACTTCCCACCATCACCAGTGTTCCTTGTCTTAGTTTCCCATTTCTGCTGTAAGAAACAGCAACAAGAAATTTAGTGGCAACAAGCAGTGCACGTTTATTATCGTTGCATTCTGGATGGATGTTAGAAGTCCAAAATCAATGTCAGAGGAGGCCTAGTGGTGCAGTGGGTTACTGTTGAGTTGCTTACCAAAAGCATGGAGGTTCAAATCCACCAGCTACTGCTTGAGAAAAAATGAGCCCGCCTGCTGTTTCCGGTGGACAGCCTTGGACGTCGATGGAGGGTCACTGTGGTCGAAATTGACCCATTGGTGGCAGGTATTGGTTTGGGGTTAATGTAAAATCATTGGCAGGGCTGGCTTCTTTTAGAAGCTTCTTCCAGAATTTGTTCTGTTGTCTTTCCCAGCTTCTAGAAGCTTCCATCTATGCCAACTGCATACCAACTTCCCCTCTCTCTCTTCCTCTTTCTATCTCTGCCTTTTCTACCTCTGACACCACCCCCACCCCCAGGTCTCTTGCGTGGGAATCTTTATAATTGCATCAGAGCCAGCCAGATATTGCACAATAATCTCCCTCTTTCGAGTTTCTCTTTTTAATCACATCTACAAAATTACTTTTGCCGTTTGACTTGTGGTAAACATTACACTGGGTCTTCTTCAGTCCCCCTTATTCATTGTGTACCTTTCACATGCATATGAAGCAGTTTTGTTAAACTGCACCTAAAAAACGGGGCCATTCCTTCACTGAGGGAGCTTTCTACCTTTAATTCCAAGTGTGGCACCTCAGAGGTGGGAAAGCCATGGTCCCTGCCCGCAGAGCGCCCCATCTGGGGAAGAGACAGCACCCACAGAGTGCAGCTGAAACCAAAGATTCCTGTTGCGTTGTGTAGGGGAAAATGACCCTAGTTGCTTTGGGAAACCAGTGAATGATAAGCTTCGATTGTTTCCCCTTCTCTGAGCATATTCCTCCTAAGCCCTAAGCATTCAGGAAGGTGGCACCGTGGCCCACAGGAATCATTGTGGTAGAGAGAGACCTTTTAGGGCCAGGGTCTCCGAATTGGCTTAAAGGTTAAAATAATCTCGTCCTCTGTGTAGATATTCCTGTCAGGCAGAGGCAAAATAATTATCTTAGATGGCATTTTCCTTAATAAGCAAAGCAGAAGGGGAGCTCTGGTGGCCTAGTGGCAAGGAGCTGCAACTACAATCCCAGAGGTGAACGGTTCGAATCCACCAGATGCTCTGCCGGGAAAGGAGGGACAATCTCCTCCTGTACCAGTCAGATCTGATTTGACGGTACACGCACACAAAAATAATAAAATAAAATAAAAAATTTTAAAAAAATAAGCAAAGCAGAGGCTTAAATATTTATGGCTATTTGTTCAAAACCCTTGAAATGGATTAATACTGTAGCCAGTCCTCAAGCAGGAAAGACAAGCTGAGGTGGAAACTGTGACCAGCAGATGTGATTCGGGAGCCGAGACGGGCATCCCTGGCAGGGCCCTAATCGGAAAATGACTCCTGGAGCTGACGTGAACAAGACTCTTTGCTTTGATTATTTAAAAAAATAAAATAAAAATCTCTCTGGGGTCATGTGAGGGCCCTTGAGAGG